AAATAAACTTTAAAACAATAGCAAAAAATTAAAAATGTAATTACAAGATTTGTTATAACTACAGATTAACCATAACAGATGCAAAGCCCGACAAAAGATCAAAGGATTTTGAAATGAGATTTTTATTCCCGTGAACATTAAATGAGTATAGCATAGGTGTTCAATCATTCTTACTAAATATGACTTTCTTTCAAACATGAGTTTTGGATGCCAGGGTTGGCCTAGGTAGTTAAAGGTTTAATGTATAGTAGCAGCACTTGTACGAGTATGTTAAAAAAAATTGTCGAAAAGAGTTTAATTTTTAAACATTTTAAAAGAAAACGAATACGATATGTATTAATATTTTCAAAATTTTATTATAGGTAAAAAGTTATAACAAGCAACGAATTATAATGTAATGGTTAAAAAAAGTCTTAAAAATTTGTTAATTGGGCTTAGTCATCAAATCCAGTTATTAAGCCTTCATTTTTCCTATAGTGTGTAGATATAAATATATTGGCAATTAATTTCCTATTGATGGAAGGTTAACGGGAAATTGTCCTGTCCACAAGCTGGTGGATCAGACAATAACAATGTGAAACAGAAAATGGTTGTTATAAATACTCCCGAGTGAGATGAAAAATAACCTGTCTTCGCCCATAGAGTCGCATCTCAAGCCTATCAACAAGCATTCTACCCCACTCCAGTTCATTGGGTAATCTATGCTATACATTTTTTATATAATTGATCCTAATAGGGATATCGATAACTGCGATTCAAATACTTGCGATCTGGATTAGGAGAAATAAAAGAATTTTAATAGGAATTACGAAGATTAGTAGATGAATAATTGTTTCTTATGAGAAAAGAATATTGTTAAAAAAAGTCTAATTTTTAAAACAATAAATAGTTTGATATATTTCTTATATAGGTACAAGGTGTCCCAAACGTTCCTAGATTATTTAAGCAAGGCTTTTTAAAATTTTTGTTTCTGATTTGAAAACTAGAAGTTTGGGAGATTAGTTATGAAGAAATTCATTGTTTCCCCAAAGAGTCCCTATTGTGGTACTCTATTTTGAATACCAATGATCAATTACAGAAACGCAAAGAGCGTTTTGCAGACTTTTCAGTACCTGGAATTTTCCATTGGGAAATGACTATACGCAATCAAAAACGTGCAATAAAATTGCATATAATCATTTCCGAGGGAGAACTTATTGCATTGAAAAGTCTGCGAAACGCTCTTTGAGTTTCTGTAATTGATCGATGGTGTTCAAAATAGAGTTCCACACTAGCAACTCTTTGAACAACGGTCAATTTCTCCGAAGCTTCTCCTAGCTTCTCCTGAAACAAAAAATTTAAAAAGCCTTGCAAGTCAGAAGTTATTACTTTTTTAAATCACCTGTATCCGTATTTTTATTTAATTTATTCCAAAATTTAAAAAAATATATTTGATTTTTGAGGTTTTGTTATGCCATTCATATTTACAATTATTAGAAAAAGACTAGTACCAATTAACAAATATAAGAGTAGATATTATAGCAAAAAGTAAAATAAATTCACAGTTTAATATTGCTAAAGAATCCACTGAGAACAACATTTTTCCAATATCTTTTGAAATTGGTAGTATGGAGAATCTTGATGTTTGAGTGATGAATCTATTGTTCATACATCGCACCTCCGGTAGAACAATGACGCAAGTGCAAAATTTAAATTTTTCTAGTTTAGCATGTCAAACGTGTCATACTTTCTAATAATACAACGACCTAATTGTAGTTTGCATGGGTATCGACAGGGGGTAGATGCGTCGTTCTTCCATTTACGCAAACATGTGGCCATGGTTCAGAGACACTACGACGTAATCGTCAGTTGTGTTTTGAACTCAGACAGAGATGCACGTGTTCCATTACTATAACGACGCAATTGTTAGTTCTAACCTATTTGAAAATTTTTCTCTTAATTCTAGTGGCACAACGACATAAGTGTGGCATTGTTAAATTATTGATCAAAGGATTTTTGTTCGAGTTTCTGTGGAATAACGACATAAGTGTTTATTGTGACAATGTTAATCTGCAACTTTTATTTGGTATAGTGACATAAATGTTCTTTATGTCATTATTAACTCAAATTTTTTGATTCCCGCCATTCCCGGCTATATTTATGACTTATGTGGTATTCCAATCTGGCGTGTGAGTAATTATTTAATATTTTTTTAGTCACAATCTTAATAGAACTTACCTGCAAAATGACCTCCCGAAGTAAAATGCTGGTTACAATGGCACTTGAGGATTCTGAAATTGCAAAAAAACTGTCGACAATAATGATAATGTGACTCCGGAAGTAGTGCAAAATTCTTCGAAAATAATTTGCAGTACACCATCCAATTTGATGGGGCAATACATTAATAGTAAATCGAAAATATCAAGCAGATATTCAAATGCTACGTTTTGAAAAAAGTAGCGATTACTACTTCTACAAAACAAGCTATATTGATTCAAGTTGGCAACGTATTCAGATTAGAACCGTTAACAGGCGTTGGTCTACCGCATTAAAGGATATAACAAATATTTCTTTAAAGTCTGCATACAATTCCAAATTGCCAATAAATGCAAACAAAACGTAAACTGTAAAAATTGTAATTAATGCTACTAATAAAGTTTTTAGTACATTTATTTTTCTAAAATACTTATTTACTCAATAAGTTCCCTTCCCGATGCATTGAGTTGGTAAATATAGGTTTTAATAATAAAGTATTTTTGTATTAAATTGTGGCATACTTATTAAAAGTATAATATGTCACATAAGAATAACGCAAATGGAAGGTGTTTAACTTGCATAGACTGCAGCTACTTATTTTTCGGAACATGTTGATAATTCATGGCACTGTTTAAAATTAGATCAAATTATATGAATATTATAGCTTTTTGCCTTATTTGCACGATTACTGTTGCTTAGTTAACCAGTTATTAAAAATAAAAAACTGAGGAATTAACTTTTCTGCACTTAGGCCATTGTTCTTTCGGAGGTGCGCATGTTTCAATAACTTTAGAGTTGAAAAAAAGCAGCGATATCAGTCTATTTTTGAAACATCCCTGGCTATTTTGAATATTTGAAATCCAGGACCGTTACTGAAAGTGATATTTACTAAAGTATCTACTAAATTATATTAACAATTTCCTTCTTGTATTCAAATATTTTAGCAATGTCAAACTTTAATTCTACTATCTACTATTTACTGATTTTATGACTCATCCACATGCCTTTGTAGTTTTCATTTTTTTAATGTTATGGGGTGTTGTGGTTTATAATTTAAATGTAGTCATGTTAAATAACTTTCTTGGTGAAATTAAATTAGTTTCAGACATTTTCTGTACTAATTCTAGACCAATGTTGATCCATCTGCAATATACTACATTAAAGTTTTATTTTGCATGACTTGCAATATGTTTACAGCTTTTTTGTTCAGATGTTTATTATGCATAAAGGAATTCAATATTTTCCATTAGTTATATAGGTACATTTAAAACTAATTGTTCCTAATACTCCTGCTAGTAATATAACAAACAAATACATAACCTTACAATTTCAAAACTTTCCCAATTCCTTAACTATGCTGGCGACACTACAAAGCCATGACGTCATAAATGATCTCTGGCGTGCATTGGTATTTGTATTAAAAATACTTTGTTTTTTTTTTGCTAGAGAGAAGAGAATACAGAGGTGTACAGTCTTTATTTTAGTATTTTTTCAGAATTCTCTTTGGTTAATCTTGATTTGAACATAAATCTTAGTTCTTGCAGCTACATATTATAAAATTAAGGATTCTGAAGAAAGTAGGTGATACATTTTTTTATACCTATATTTCTTAAATCTAGAAGATTCTAGGAGTCGTTTTTGTTTATGTTTATGACGCTTTAATAAACTTCCGTATCTTATGACAGTAATAAAACACTTTCAACCCCGCGGCCATAATATATTATGTTTAAAAAGAACAATTTTAAATGTCCATGAAAAAGAATTGCAAATTTCGACTACAATGCTAAACCTCACCACGTCGCCAAAGTATGTTACAAATTACAAAACTCAAAGATGCTCAAAGTTTTAATGGAAGAGCCACCTATACGTGAATTATGAAACTAAAACCAAACGTTCTTCGCATTTAAAAAGAGGCATCTGTAGAACGTTTTAATAACAGATGGTTATAATTTATTATATATTTGAAAAGAACAAATTTTAAATTTTCATAAATTAGAATTGTAAATTTTGACTACAAAGCTAAATTTCTTCACGTTACCAAATACGTTACAAAAATTTCACTCAGATTCTCAAAGTTTAAAAGGGAGAGCCACCTATACAGAAACTATACAACTAAAATCGAACGTTCTTTGTATTTCAAAAGAGGCATTAGTAGAACATTCTAATAACAGATGGTTCGCGCTGTTTCAAATCGATAAAATCCTACAAATAATAGAGGCGTTCAGATATTCTTTAAACTTTTTGCGAAATTCTGATTCTAGTTACCCAAACTAATTGAAAACTTTAAAATGGATACAAAGTAAAGTACTAAAAACCCTTATTATGTGTGACAAATATCACTGGGATATCGTTTGCCACTACTTAACAATAACATTAAAACACCCTCAAATATAAAATAAAATACAGGGTGTTCCATTAAAAAGAACATCAGTTGGTTCCAGAGGGAAGCTATTAAACACCCTGTATATTCAAAAATAATTTTAAAATATGTAGTTTTTTATATCTCTAATAATGGCGGAGATATTGGAATTTTTCACACTAATGGATCACCCTGTATACCTAATAAAACTAAATTGTTGCTATAACAGTTTCAATCGGAACTAGACCAATGATCGGTTCAAACAATAAAATATGTAACACCGATGAACTGGGAATAAACAATCTGGTTGTTGCAAGTAAAATTTGAGTGAATCTCTCGCTACCGTTATTATTATGAAATTTCAAGTTTTCTATAGTCTTTTTAACGATATTTTGTGCTAAATTTGCTTCATCCTTGTCTTCTAATAAGTCCATTCGACAGAGTAGAATTGTTTCCAGGTATTCCAAGTTTTTCGTATCTAAATTTAAAGATTTCATGTAATTGCAGGTGTCTTGAAGGAAGTAAAAATATCCGTCGATATTTGTATACCAGTAGGATGCTTTTAAGATGAATAATGGCGCCCAAAGTTGTCCTGAAAATTTTTAATTGTATTAAAAACAAAGTTGTGCTTCATTTAGTTATTGTACTGTGAAAGGTACTAGTTAAAGTTTTTATTTTCATAATAAGATTAGAGGAAAAGGTGCAAATATGGAATACCGTTCTGTTTGGTATATAAAAAAAAATTTGTTAGTGAATAGATTTAAGCCAAATTTAGGGAAAAGGTACTTTAGACAATTAGACACCAAAATGTAAAAGTAAATGTGTAATTATTTTAAACACTTTTTCAAAAACAAGTTAGAAAAAAAAACTACAAAATTCTTACCTTAGAAAAGGTGAGGGAAATATGGAATACTTTATATATCTACATATTATTTACACCAGTCACAAATATATTCGTCTTTTTCGGCGTCTTCACACTCATTATGAGCCCATTTTAAGCACATTAAACATTTCTTATCAGCAGAAAACGAACTTTTGCAAAACATGCAATGAGCATCGTCCTCATTCGGTTTCAGTTGTCCCGGCATATCTTCCAAATCGTTGTCAGAATCGCCAATTTTTACATCTTCGCTTGAATCCTCAGATTAATCAGCAGAAACTGCATTCTTTTGACGTTTCATTTTGTACTTTGACTTCTCCTATTCTTGAGAATCTTTTTTAAACGAAAAATATTTCAAACTCAAATGTGATCAAGACGTAAACTAAAAATATAAATAAAGCCAATATCACATAAATTAAGAGCGACCGTTTCCCTTTAGAAAACAACTACTTCTTTGGCTAATACCGCAACAGGTATTGAATTATATCCAAAGGAAAGACAGGCAGAGATAGAAAATTAAATTTCAACACTCTATCTACCTTTTTTTTGTTTCAAGGATTTTCCTGAAGACAAGTTTCTTTTAACGCCACGCCACGACTGGAGATATTTCGAACGGTGAAACAAACTTCTGGGTTGAATCTACGTCTTCATCTTGGCCTTGGTCATCTTCATCTTGGTCTTGGTCATCTTCATCTTGATCAACAGCTTGAATTCGGCCAGGTGCATTGTCTTCGCATGACGTTTTAGAGCATGAAGGTTTATCGATAGGGGTAGTAGAAGCTTTTGTTGTTTTGACCTCTTGAATGTTAATGATAATTCCTCTTTTCGCTGCTTCTTGTTCCGCAGCAATGAAGTCATTTTCCTGTTAAAAGGGTAAGTAAATACCAGATGGCAAACAAGTTTAGCCGGTTTTCGATAGGGGGCGGCATTTGGTTTAGTCATAACCGAGGTATTCCATATTACATGCATATTCCATATTTACACCTTCTCCTCTATCTAAGAAAGTATACAAAGCTAAACTGATGGAGGTTAGGTAGCTGAAACATTTAGTTAGGTAGTTCCTAAGTTAATTCTATAAAAAAATAGCAAGGAAAATAAAAATATATGTATCTAAAGAATCTTCAACAGTACTTGTATCCCACATTGTTCTGGTAAAACAAATTGAATGGAAATTGCCTTTTAAGTGACTTTTATGACTTATTAATTGTTAGTCCTGTTAAATATGTCAGTAGCATTGTTTTGGGGTAACTGCTAAAGTTATTAAATTTACTTTTATCTAAGTGGCGACATTAGTTTGGATGTTAAAATATTTACCTAATAAAATATTCTGTGTCTCCCTCTTGAGTAGTTGAAATCCTGTATTCATTCTAGCATGTTTAATAGCAGTTAAAAATATATTAGCCGCTAATTCATAAAGAATATTGGTATTTGACATTGTAACTATACTTTCTTGTGCCACAAATTCCGATGGTTTCCTTTTCTCCTCGTTTAAATGTGGCATTTCGAATAACTTTGGAGAAAGCTGATGTGCCTTTGGTTTTCTTGGTCCTCTTTCTTCTTGTACAGCTAAAAGGAAGTTAATTGAAGTTATTCTTGTATTACATAAAAATAAAGGTTTGAAATAGTTTTTTTGTGCTTTACTCAATGTCGGCCTATTTTTAACTACACCAGTAATTTTTCCGAACTTTCTGATGATCCAACCAGTAGCACCTCTATGGAGTTGGAATACTGACTGCTAAACATCTTCTCAAAGATGGCACACCTCATGCTGTACACTATGAAAAAGTTTTCTTGGATCAAACAAACGTATATGTCTAACATTTGTTTGTTTACTTTATAGAAATTTTGTGTAAGAGAATCATCCTTGTGAGAAGAAATTCTTGTTGGTTAAATATCAATTCCCCCTTTTTTTTCAAATTCAGGTACCTATTTGTATTTCAAGAATTAAATAAAGAAATTTCTTAACGTGAAACAAATGTGTTTGTAAAATTTTTATTATTTCGAACCAATTTTTTTACTTATCAAAATTTTGAATTTACTTGGATATACTTCTGTGATTTCTACCTATTTGTGTTTTGAATAGATTGTTTTTAGAGTGTTGAGGAAGGGAGAATATTTTTAAGTGAATAATAGAATGTACAGAGAACGAACATTACAGTCTTTTCGCTATACTTACGCGGGTTTCGGATTAACAAAATTATGCAAATTAGTCATTGACAACCAGTTCCGATAAGCCTCTTCCCAAGAAATTAGGTAAAATTGACCTAATGGTCAGATTTAAATTAAAATAACATTAGGGTAGATACTAAATTTGTTACAAATATTGCAGTTGAATTGATTCTTTGCAAGTGTTGACATTGTATGTATATTGTAAATTTAGTGGAAATTTTAAAAATGCCTAGACATGTGTTAGATGTAGATAGTCTAATTTGTAGTGTACATAAGTATTTTACGGATGAAAAAGAAAATTCTCTCGGAATTAATAGATAGAAAATTTGACGACATTGGCAGAACAAGTCTATGGCAAGTGATACATAACTTGGGTTTCAAATTTCAAAAGGAGGATAACAGAAAGGCCCTTTGTGAAAGAAGTTCTGTCGTGCACAAGAGAATTAACTTTCTAAGAAAATATTCTAAATTTAAAGAAGAAGGGGCGTTTTTTATATATTTAGACGAAACATGGATATTTTCTAGGGGTGCAACCAAGAGAGTATGGCAAGATGATAACGTAAAGTCCATCAAACATACCGATGGAGAAGAGAAGCGACACATAATTTTACATGCAGGAGGGAAATCGGGTTTTATAGAAGGTGCTGATTTAATATTTTCATCTAAATCAAAATCCAGTGACTATCACGATAATATGAACACAGAAATGTTTGTAAAATGGTTGCATGAAAAACTTCTCCCAGGTTTAAGTGAGCCCAGCGTAATTATTTTAGACAATGCACCTTACCATTCTGAAGTATTAAACAAAAGTTTAACGAATTCTTGGACTGTTGATAAAATTAAAGAATGGTTGACAAAGGAACATATACCATTTCCTCAATATATATTAAAATTAGAATTATTTACGTCTGCCACCGTATCATTGCCAGTTTAATCCCATCGAATATATATGGGGAATAGCAAAACAATATTATAACAACCATATTGGGCCTAATGGTTATAGTGACGACGCAGTTCGGGAAACTTGGCGAAAAGCATTTTCAATTGCAACTCCAGAAGTGTGGCGGAACTGTATATTCAAGTGCGAGAAACTAATAGAAGATTGGTGGACTCGTGAAAATAAAATAAACGAAATAAGTCCAATCATGATAACAATTAATGGTGATGACAGTGATGATGATGACGATTATGATATTTTGGATGATAATGACTGATTTTCATTTTTGTTGGCAAGTTCAATTTTTTTATTTTTCATTATTTGAAATTATCTACATGGAACAAATTTTTATGTTAGAAAATATTTTATTTGAGCTAAATAACCCTCTTATTATACATAAACCATATTTTCTGTGTGAAGTGTAATATAAAATTATTATTAGGTTTATAATAGCCACATTAGACTAGATTATTATTTAATTAAAAAGTTGTACATTATTTTTCATTTCATTTAACCAGTTGATATTTCCCCAAAGAACAGGTCAAACTTTCGGGTACTTACCTGGAAATACTCATAAAATTTTTAGTCCGAAACCCGCGTAAGTATAGCGAACAGACTGTAGTGTGATTGGGTTTCAATTTACTTGAGATTCCATATCAATATATAATAAAATCTGAAATTTCTTACCTGAACTGTTCATTTGAACTGCTAAACACCTTTGTAATCTGCAATAAGGACACCAATTACGTCTTGTCTTGTCTATAACGCACATTCTATTTCCAGCTGCATGTAATCATTTTTTATTTTTAATGTGGGTTGTAACTAAATCATAGAAATATTTCTATATTAACTACCACTAAAATTATTTTGTTAAAAATTGATTTAAGGTTTATATGAATCTTCGGAAAAAGTATCTACAAGGTATTATTTTACCATAATCGGAAAATTAACTTTTTACAAGTATAAAACAAAGAAACTGGAATATCAAGAGAGATCGTTATTTCATAAAATAACTTTGTTTTGGTTTAAAAACTTACATCAATGATGCAATTGAAAAATATATAGGTATGTTTTATTTGCCAAAATTAGATTTAAACTATAAAAATTAATGTAATGTTATAGAATATACCTTTAATAATAATATTTAAATACATTGAGTTCAACACATTAATTTTTAATAAATGTGAAAAATTTAATTCGACAATAACACTATTTTGAATTCCCTCATTAAAAGCTTCTTCTCTGAGAGAGTATATGGACCTAGTCGCCCTAACTGAAGGATTTGTAGTGATGATACCAGATTTGAAGTAGGTATGTATTGGTGATCGTAGGAGTCGTGTCATAAGAACAAAAGAAGAAGTGTTTCAGAATGACTGTTTTAGAAAAAAAAGTTAAGTTTCGGGCTTCAATTATGATTTGGGGCCATGTCAACTGAAGGAGTGGGAAACTTACACTTTGTAGATATTATGAATGCTGATAAGTACATTAATGTGCTTCAAAATAACTTAATACCCCAAATTAAATACGTTTAAATAATATCGAATGTATTCCAACAAGATAATGCCGCTTGTCAGAGGGAAAGCCCACTCAGGCGACACGTCGCGCGCGACTCATCGCGAGGCATCGCGCGCGGCAATAATTTAGATGTTTTTAAATGACTCAAAGCCCATTAACGCGATTCCGTCGCGTGGTCGCACGCGGCTGAAAATTAAAAATGACAAATCCCGCGATTTTCCTGCCGCACGCGGCCAGCTTTATCATGGATTCATATGGAGCATCACTCATACAAACGTAAAGTCGCGTGCGAAACGCCAGTTGAGAGTTAAAGTTTCCTGTTAACTTTTCGACAGTGAAAAAATGTCCGACAGTTGTATTGATATAGATGAATTTATATCCGATATTCAAGACCGACCTCAAATATCAAAGAGTTAATTGAAATAAAATAGCGAAAAAATTATTTGTTCGAGAATCTGCGCTAGCAGTTCGTCAAATGATACTACTCTCATTCTGAAATATTTGAAGAACTTATCTTCGTGTTGACGTAAATCCTTATGTAATAAATAATGGATAAACCCAGTACCTACGTCGTTTCAATTTTTTCCGCCGACGAACAAAATAAAACAACACCGTTACTACTTCTTCCACCTCTATTTTGATACTGAATGTCTGTGTCGCTGCTTGTCGTCTGTTAAAAATTGCACCTAAAAAATCGCATGCGGCAGATCGCGCGCGACATGTCGCGCGAGTGGGCTTTCCCTCTATAAAAGTAAAAGATTGGACGTCAGCAAACAATATTCTACTTTTAAAATGGACGCCTAGTAGCCCAGATCTATCGCCTATTGAAACGTTATGGTAAATCATGAAAAAAAAAACCCCTTGAAACGGTAAATACGGCAGCATTTGACAACCACACCTGAGCTCATTATATTCCGTATCGTATCGTATTACACGATAGCGTCTATAAATCTCTACATTTCTGTATTCACAATTTTGCATTCTTGCCCCCCCCCCCCTGGAAAAAGTTCTGGCGGCGCCCATGACTACTTACAAATGCACGTATAAGCAACTTTTCTTCTTATACTCCTCTTGAAAAAGCAAGAGCAACCATCGCAGCAATAAACTCCATAGTGTTTTCCAAAAGATCTATCGCCACAAACTCTACATGGGACTGGAGTCGGAAGAGTTCGACCTAGGAAATTAATTAATTTGTGAATAAATACAAATAAAAACATCAAAAATACATTATATATAATACACACATCGCCAAAATTCTTGGACCCCCTCGTAAATATTAAAACGAAATATTTATCATGGTTTTTTGTACATTTAATCTTTATTTATTTCACCGTTGATAAGCATCTAAAAATGTTTACAAAAACAATTTCCCACAATTTTAGGTACTAATATTTAAAAAGTGGTTCATATCGATTTTGTTAATTGTTGAGTTTTTCTTTGCAATTATGCCTGGCAATAGAATTTCAGTGTTCAATAGAGTAAGAATAGTGGCTTTTAATGATGAGGGTCTGCCGAATCATCGAATCGCAGATAGACTAGGGACTCCCCGCGCTTCAGTTATCCGAATAGTGCATTTGTACCAGGAAACTAACTGTGTTGACTGGAAACGTGAGACTGGGCTTCCTAGGGTGACTAATCCAAGAGAAGATCGGTATGTAGCAGGTTATGTACGTCGGAATCGAACCGTAACAGTCTCAGCTGTCCGAACTCATTTTAGAAGAACGTATGGTCGATTCATTTCCAGTACCACAATACGGCGGAGACTTGCTGGAGCCAATTTACGATCTAAAAGTACCCAGGTTACTTCCCAGACATATAGCTGCTCGTCT